CTCCTGCTCACTCCCCCGCCCCACGTCTGAAGGGGTGACTCAGAGCCTTAGCAGAGGAGAGAAAAACAACTTTGAGGCCCTCTGTCAGTGCCACTGGCTGGAGGGAAAGGTGGGATGACCAGGAGAGCCGGAGAACAGCCACAGCCATGAGCCAGGCACTGAGCGTTGAGTCATCCTTTGTAGCCAGCCGTGTTTCACCCACAGCCCCAGCTACAGGAGGAAGCCGGCGTGCGGGGCACAGGGGGACAGCGGATAATCCCCTGGGCTGCGGCATCTCCGGACACCGATGTCTCAGCTGGCCACGGGCACGAGCCGGAGAGCTGGAGTGGAAGTTGGGGCTGGGCAGACAGATCTCAGTGCCCTCTTTTGGACAGGACAAAGCCGGGCAAAGGGTCAGAGTTCAGAGTTACCAGGGGTCACATGAAAGCAGAGAATGGGAGGCAGCATGCCCAAGGAGGACCTGCCTGCCCCAGTGTATGCTTTGCCCGAGTGAGGGATTTCCAGAAGCTTCCTGATGGATCAATAGCCTAGAAATTGCTCCTCCCCTGGCAGAGGGAGGGAGGGGGAACCTTGATGGAGGACACGGTGAGAGGAAGGTAAGGCCACTCCTGAAAAGACAACTGCTAACAGCTGTGGACACAGGAATCTGATCCCATCTCCTTTTAAAATGAAGGGCACAGACAGAGTATTGTCATCCCGACAATGGCCCAGACAGAACCCAGTTATGTCAAAAAGACCATTATTTCCCCCAATGTTTGCTTTTGGCTTTAGATGGCATTCCCTCAAAATCACAAAATCAGCTCAGGGTTGTCACCACTTCTACTGGTGAGAACCTGTCAATATCAGTGCACTGTGAACAATGGCGATGTAGCATCCAGGAAACGAGCCACATGTGCCTACATTGTCCCCAGCCCCCCTGGGATGGCGCAGTGGGAGGGGCCGATTGCACTTAAACTCCCAAGCTCATTCCTGCCCAAAGGAAAGGTGGAAAAGCTCTCCATCTCCACAATGGTCCTTTCCAATGACTGTGCAAAAAAATACGCTCAAGAGTGATCAGACTCACGCGCCTGGCAGAGCAGAACCAACCTTTTATGTTGTGTCTCATCTTGGAAAAGGTGTTGGTGTCCACAGGACCTGTGACCATGGCCAGGCAGGCCTTTAGAGAACTTGGGTACTTCATCTGTCTTGCCCTGAGCGACCACACAGGGCTTTGCACAGGGTAGTCACATGGGGATGGGGGATGGTAAGCAATCCTCCCACAAACTTTAAAAAAAAAAGAAAATCTCCAAATTAGACCAGGTAGAAACCCGCACCTTTCAGAAACCACCAGATGAGCTCCCCCTGACTGTGGCCACCATTACTGCCTTCGCGCCCACCGTCCCTCTCGGGCTCGTGTAGCTGGTGTAGGATGCACTACCCGGCACCTGTTGGCAACCCCCTTTTGGATATTTGGGACCCTTCACACTGACATGTGCATTACGGTATAGATGGCGGTTGTTCCCTCTCCATTTCCTCAACTCCCCAATGTCCAGAATAGGGTCCTGGTCTCAGAAGTGACTCAATGCATGACTGTTAAACAGCCAATATAATTTTTAATTTCTAAGACCACTCCTGGAGGGGAGGCAATGAGGACTGATATAATGAACAGACAGACTTGTCTCATTTCTTTGCTTCAACAAGGGAGTTCTGGCCTGGTTATGAAAGTTCCACAACATACACCTGTTTGCTTGTGTCCTGAAACGCCACCCAAACATTCCTTCCTGTCACTGAGCCACTATACTTTCCAGTGCTTCTAAAATAGAAGTGGAGTCGAAGAGCCCCCAGCCCGTCTCCAGGGCCTCCACATGCCTTTCATGGAATGAGAACCTGTGCTGCATCGGGTTCCAGCTTTCTCGGCTCATGAGTCCCACGGAAAACATCTCCAATATGTGGTCATCTGTCCTTTGATTTAAGACTGCTCCTGACAAAGAGCCAACCACCTCCTGACAGCAGAGCCCTAATTGTTAGAATATTCTTCCTTGGGCTGGGCTGAAATCTGTCTGTTTTAACTACCACCCATCAGTTCTAATTCAGTCTCTGGAGTCACACAAAACACATCTTAATGCCCTTTCCACAGGACAATCCTTGAAGGGGCTGAAGACAACATTCTTCAAATTCATCCAAATAAGCACCTGACTGTAGACACTGGGACAATGGGAAACTGTGCTGTCCTGTCCAACAGGTTCAGGCCCCTCCCCGCACAGCCCTGCAGGGGATAGATGTCCACACTTTATTTACCGGCAGACAGACACAGCCCCTTGTTCCTCAGCCTGCTAACAAGCCGAGGTCGTTCATCACCCGCTTGCTCCTTTTTGAAATTCACTCTGCAGCAAGCACTTTTAAAGTCATGCACGTAATGCATTTTAAAGAGCATTTCTGCACAGATCCATTTGCTCGGCCTCAGCCTGAGCGGGAGATGGAAGAGTATTTCAGCGCGGTCCTCCTGCTCCTCCTGGAGCCTTGTCGGCTGGACTCTGGCACACATCTGGGGCTTGAGGATGCACCGTCTATTCAACATGCGTTTGTCGATTAAAATGAATCTTGCAAAGAATGTGCATTACTAATGCAAAAGCGAGTCAAAAAATATGTATTCTGTAATGCACATGTTAAAAATTCAGGCAATCTCGGTGTGTCTGTGAGCGGACCAGCTCTGGGCTGCCATCTCCGTTACAGCACAGAGCACTGCTTCCGAAAGACAAGCACTTCCAAGAACCTATACTAAAGAACCGCAACCCACTGTGTCGCCGGCAGTGGGTGTTCCCCTCCATTCAAAGGGCATCCACCAGCACCCACATGTTCCTGGCCCTTTCCCCAGTGTGCCCCGAAACCCACCCGAACAATGTCTTTATGCGCCATACACTGTCAATGGGCTGTGCTAATTGAGAGAAATAAAGCAGGTAGGTCCTGTGAGCAGAACCTTGAAAACAACCCCCTCTCGGCAGAGCAATCATGATTTAAGATGGACGGCTCCAATGCCCTGTCCAGTGTCCCATAACAATATCCACACGGTGACTGGAGCCATCCAGGAACTTGTGCTAATAAAACCCGTCAGGTTCTCTAGAAAGTGAGAGAGTACAGCACAACTAGAATACAGACGTTAGCCTTTATGGGGTTTGCCAATCAATCCCACTTTATTAGACCAATCAGTATTTTAATGCTACAAACTAACTCGAAGAACACGAGATGTAAGAGAGACACAGCCAAGAAGCCAGGTCAGGAACATTCAAGAATGCCGGCATCCAAGATGCAGAAACAAAACCTCAACACAGCCAAAGCAGTGGTTAGATCTTATTAAGGTCTTAACTCTGGGTTTGCTGGTCTTCATACAGGCACGGTGTTGGGAGGTCCGAGGGCGAATCCCACCTGCTGAGTAACCGCTGGGGCGCGTGACTCTCCAGCCACCAGAAGGAGCACCAGCAGGGCTGCCAGGTGGACTAAAAGGGAAAAGCAGCATGTTAGGGGGTTGTGGCTCTTCAAGTGTCCCCTATGTTGACTCAAACACAAAGAAACCATGTGTCCCAAGTGAAGCAACCTTGTTAATGCTTCTATGGACGCTAGGAGATGGTTTCTGCCTTGATTTCACCACCTTTGGTCTTGTCATGATGGCAACGGGGCGCTCCAGTGCCCGAGTTGCAGATGGAACTCCCGAGCTTCCAAGGAACCCTGCTCTCCTGAGCAAGGACCACTCACTCCAGGGCTGCCTGGAGGACCTGGTGCTCACTGGACTTTCCAGGGCCGAGAAAGAGGCCTACTAACTTCCTCCAACGTTTTAGCCTTTGGGGTCCAACAACATGCTCCAGGGATATTTAGCTGTCCCTATATCTAATGCTCTGGTTGATCCAACCGCTTCTCACATAGAATCAGAGCTGGAGTAAACAATGTTGGTGGGTAAGCCGTTCTGGGTGGTGTAATGCTCTGATTCACAGCAGATTAATTCTAAACAGCCTTTCCTTAATCTAAGACTTTTTTCTCTTGTCTTTTTTTTTTTTTAACTTTACCTTCAGCACCTAGAAGAGATTGGCACTCAATAAATATTTGTGGAATGAATGAATTTTGTTGAAAAACTATGAGAGTGTTAAGGAATACCCAATGAGGTTTCCAACACCCCGAATCACCCCTCCCCACCACAGAGGGCACATGTGGTTGTGCCTACTGCTTATCAGTGCAGGAAAGACTGCCCGGAAGTGGTGGTTCCAGCTGATCCAAGTCTGTCTTCCGGCCACGTTCGCCACTAGAGCTCCTAGAGGTCCACCCGTGGGCTCGTGAACCATCACTGCTGCACGGAGACCCTTCCTAAGGAAGTAATTAGCAGATTGAGACTGCAGGGGATGGGGGGGGGGGGGGACTTTTGGGAAACTTCTCAGATTACAGTCATTATAACAGTTCTGCCAAAGGTGGTTTCATGATTAATGACTGCCTGAGGTTACTATCCTCAAACGATTAAGCCCTTGGAAAATGTCCAGGCAGGATCATTAATACTCCTGTACAGACCCTCATTTCCCCTGAATGTCTGCAAGTCTGAGGTTTCGTTTGAGCTGCTTCCGGCTTTGTTCATTTTAAGGATAACACTGGAGAAGTTGGGGAGAGGATACGAACCCCATGGAGAACCCATGCCCAGCTGCTAACCTGTGGCTGGATCGCTTGCTCCTTGGCACCCGCCACCCCGCCCCCTCGCTTCCCCCAAATCCATTCAAACAAGGTTCCCTCCTGCCACCTGCCGGCCCACTAGGGTCTGCGCCACAGACTCGATACCGCTGCGCGCAGCTCGCGGGGAGGCGCCCCCGCCTCCTTACTGCACATGCCCGGCAGAAGTCCGGGCGCGCAACTTTGCAGAACCTCTCCACCAGTCTCTCCTCGCCTCAGTCTCCTCTCTCCTCTCCCAGGGAGAGGATCTGCGGAGGCACCTCCCCGAATCTTAGACTGCAGAGTCTGAGACTTCGAGAGAGGAGCCTAGGAGGAGACAGACTAACCCCCATCCCTTCCTTTTGCTCAGAGGCAAGCAGAGGCGCGGAGCTTTAGAAAGTTGAGTGGTCAGAGCGGTAGGTGCTCCCTTTTTGCTCCTACACCGAGGTGGGGCTGGGACCTCCAGACCCAGGTTCTCACCTCGTAAGGTGCACCTTTTTCGGCTCTAGCAGCCAATGCGCACCGGAGCCGCTCTCTGCAGAGACAGAGAGCGGGCCAGCTTCTTGGTGTGCGCTTAAGAGAATGGATCGCAGGTCCCGGGCTCACTGGCGCCGAGCTCGCCACAATTACAACGATCTGTGCCCACCCATTGGCCGCCGAGCAGCCACTGCGCTCCTCTGGCTCTCCTGCTCCATCGCGCTCCTCCGCGCCCTCGCCACCTCCAACACCCGCGCCCAACAGCGCGCGGCTGCCCGCCGAAGCTTCCTTAACGCCCACCACCGCTCCGCCGCTCAGGTGATCCCCGAGCCCCCAAATTCCGACTCGGATCAGGAGGAGGCAGACCAGGACCTGTCCCGCCCCGAGTGCCCTGACTACGAGGAAGAGTTCGACTACGAATCTGAGACCGAGTCTGAATCTGATATTGAGTCTGACATCGACTTCGACACCGAGACCGAGACCGCCCCCACCACAGAGCCCGAGACCGAGCCCGAGGACGAGCGCGGCCCCGCGGCGCTCAGGCAGAGAGCTTTCGGCCAGTCCCTCACCCAGCGCCTCCAAGCTCTGCGGGTGCGCAGCCCCGACGCCTCCCCGACTCGCTCCCAGCCCCGCAGCCAGCAGCCCCGTAGCTCCAGAGAGGGGGAGGAGCCTCGGCCCGGGCCCCGGGACCGGGATCTGAGGGACCCCGAAGAGTCTGAGAAGCCCAAGGAGAAGCAGCAGGGAGGCGGCTGCAAGCCCAGGAAGCCCACCCGCCGCGACCCATCCCCGGAGTCCCCTTCCAGAAGGGGACCCATCCCCATCCGGCGTTTCTAATGGAGGACACGGTCCAGATTCTCCTTGTTTTCTTTGATTCAGGTAGGTTGCCCACCGGGGAACTGGGGAGCCTGGGGTGGGTGTGGGAGCAGCGGGAAGAAGAGAGGGAGAAGGAAATGCAGGTTGGAAAGGCAGGTTAGGAGGAAGGCGGGAAGATAGCGGGCTCAGCTAGCCAGCTGGGGAAGTGGGAGGCCAGAAGGGCTGGAAAGGGCTCCCTAAGGCGCTCAGGTGGCCAAAGGCTTGTTAGAAGGCGGGTGCTCCTCACACCCCACTGGAGACAGCCTGAGGTCTCCGAGAGCTGGGAAGGGCTCCCCAAATCTCCCCAAGGCGCCGGAGGGCGCCCGGATGGCCAAAGGCTTGTTAGACGGTGGGTGTACCCCGCTGGAGACAGCCTGAGGTCTCCGAGAGCTGGGAAGGGCTCCCCGAATCTCCCCAAGGCGCCGCAGGGCGCCCGGATGGCCAAAGGCTTGTTAAACAGCGGGCGCACCTCGCGCCCCGCTGGAGACAACCTGAAGTCTCCAGGACGCACGACTGAATCCCCGGTGCGCCCCAGATTTCTAACTGCACACCCTACAGGCACGGGTAAGTGACTTGTTTTCTGCGCTTTTTTCCCTCCTAGAAAGACTAATCTCAAACCAGTAGGCTTTAGCGGGCGCCGGAGATGTGGTTCCGAGGTGCGCGGGCCAACTTTCACAAAGCCGGAGCAGCCGCGCGGTAGCGACAGTGTTGCAATGTGCGAAAAGTAATCAGCCCGCGATTGGGTGAGAAGTCCCGGAGACAGCCGGCTGCGGGCAAGGCGCGCCGCCGCGCTTAAGACACTCAGGGCCAGGAGCCCAAGTCCCGGCGCTGCCAATTTGGATCCTCAGGATTCTTGGTGCCAGTGCCCTGCGAGGCTGTTCGCCAGTCCTGGCCGCACCACTCATCTCTGGCCGCTCGCCGGGTGGGAGCCCGCCGCAAAGAGCGTTCGCACCTGCCCGGGCGCCCTAGAGCAGACTTCTCAGAGCGGGAGGCGGTCCCCCGCGCCCAATACCGGTACTTGGAGGTCAGGCAGAGAAGGTAGAGGCGTCTCGGGGGGGTGCCTCTACAGGCTACCGGGGTTGGTGGTGCGGGCTTGGTCACGTCGGGGTATCGCCAACCCTTTGGCGCAGCTGTTCCGGAGGCGGAGCCGGGTGCAGCCTGTCTGGAGAGGTCCTGGGCTGTTGCGCAAGGCTCTGGAGGTGAAAGAGAGGGCTGAGACCCGCGAGGTGTTCGCCTGCGGAAAGGTAAAGCGGACAAGAAACGGGCTGGGACAGGGGTTCACACTGATCATCAGGATACTCGACAAAGAGTCCCCAAAGAGCGCGGCACCCGCCGAGCTGGGGAAAGGTTTTTAGATCCGAGGCAAGTCTCTGGGCGATTGGCCCAGAGGGGGAAGGGGCCGGCGGCTTCGGCAGCCTCGGGGAGGGGATGCGGCGCACACCGGCCATTTTCAGCTCGGTGGGGCCAAGTTTGGAATCTAACCTGGAGTTAAAGTGCCCTGATGTCAGAGCACAAAACTGGCCGCAGTCTGGTAACACATCGTCGGTGCGGTAACACATTCCTCGCCAATCCTGGGGGGAAAGACCGATAAGTGAAATGTATTTACAAAACCTCTCGCGACTTGGAAACCGATCTTTTCTTCGTGCGCGCGCGTCTCGTTTTTAGGTGCCGGTTTGGACTGTAATGATGGGAATGATTTGGGGGAAAGGTGAAGCGGTTTGAGGCTTGAAAAGACGGTCGGGTTCTTAGACTCCGCGAAGAAAAGGATGCGGCCAGAAGGACCACTTTCGGTGGTCTCCTCCCAGGGAAGGGGTCACAGAGCCGCGGGACTTGGTTATGCGCGGCTGCGCCGGCGGCGCGGGCTAATGACTGCCGGCTGCGGTTGTGGTTTTCACTAGTAAATACCAGGCGGGCAATTTGTCAGCCAGGGGCTTCCCCGCGGCGGCGTGGGAGTGTCCGAAGCCAGGAGGCTGCCGTGGACTTACAGGAGGGTCGGGTCCTGCCGGCCTCGAAAGAGTGGAATGGCCTGAGTGAGAGGAAGCTCCCTGAAGTTGACATTCCTGCTTAAACAGTGGTGCTGGGTCCTTTCTGTGGCATTAAGTGTTGTTTTTTTTCCCTTTGGTAGAGTCTTAGTAGCCTGAGCTTGTTAAGTCTCCAGTAACAAGGCTGCGGCCCCGGTTGGCTTTGGGCATGGTTTTCAGTGTGGGAGCTATTTTCACAGGTTGGGGCATCTGGGTTTTCAGGTTTTCTGCAGTCTGTTGACTTGTTGCAGGATGAAGAGATTTTTTAAAAAGTTCTCAGTGCCTAACCCATCCCTCCCACCCTAGTCTTAGTCTGTGTGTTTTTTTAAACAGAAAGTCAGCATGTGGGGTGCTGGCTTTCTTAACTGTAAGCTATGTACAAATGCATTATTGGGGTGCCCCCATGTCATCTAGGAACACACAAATAGTTCTGCCATCTTTCAGACACTCCTTTTCACAAACTGAAAACCTGTTACCCACCCCCACACTTCCTCCACTCATTTCCCCTCCCCCAACTTCCTCCTTCCATCCTGGCTCCTGGGTGCAAAGGCCATTAGGGACCACACAGAACAATCGAGGACTATGCCAAGCCCCTGGGAAAGCACCCAGGCACCCACCCCCAAGGAGAGGGGATTTTGCTACACAGACACTCAAACCTGAGCCCCTTGGGGTCAGCTGCCTTTCTTTTCCAGATATGTTTCTGGCAAGTTCTCTAAGCATTCCCAACTCAACAGTCTCCCAACCGCCCTTTGTCTCACCCTGCAACACTGGTTAGCATATGAATGGGTTTTGCTTGCCCTTTCAACTTAGGTGGGGCCAGCCTGCGGGGGAAATTCTCCACAAGTGCAGACCATGTAGTTAACCACATAGGTGAGTTACCAGCCAGTCATATTTCAGAGGGAGAGAGGAGAGAATAAAGTTAGCTAAATGTGATGGTATGCTCCAGTATATAGGGTTTTTTTCCTTTACTACATTAATCATTTGCTTAATAGAAATTTGCTTTTTCTTTGACAAAGCTGCTCTTATAACTTTCCAAGTTGGAAAATCATGTTCTATGATTTGAACATATGTAGCTATGTTCAAATATTGTGTGGTACCAACAATCTGTTGTAGGCTTCCTTCTAAAAGTTTGGCAACTTTTCATCTATGTTTATCAGAATTCGTGAATTGGGAATTTTGAAGTTTGGAATTGTGTAAGATAATGTTTCTTTAATGAGCTAGAAGTTCTGCGCCCCTCCCCCCCACCCAATTGCTTACAGCCCTTTGACCCTTTAGCCCTGGATCTTAGCAGCTGTGATACAGGTTTAATGAAGAAAGTGGAAACTTCAGTGTAAGAGTGAGGTCTTTTTTAAAGAATCCGCATGAGCCGAAACCGGTTTGGCTCAGTGGATAGAGCGTCGGGCTGCGGACTGAAAGGTCCCAGGTTCGATTCCGGTCAAGGGCATGTACCTGGGTTGCGGGCACATCCCCAGTGGGAGATGTGCAGGAGGCAGCTGATCGATGTTTCTCTCTCATCGATGTTTCTAACTCTCTATCTCTCTCCCTTCCTCTCTGTAAAAAATCAATAAAATATATTAAAAAAAAAGAATCCGCATGAATTTTACTTAATGTATTTGTATTATCGCTGCTCTTCACGCAGAGGGAAGCTATTGAAAGGAAACAGCAGAAAGCACGGTGGTGGGGAAAGCATGTCTCTTAGCAGAAAAAAATCACTAAAATCAAATGAAGCTTCCAGAGGCGAGTGACGTCACAGCCCAGCAAAAGGGATGAGTCTCGAATTAGGTCTTTAATCCCCAAGTTCCAGAATGAAGGATGCAATTCCTAGTCCTGCTCTTCAGGGCTTGACGTTACGTATGCCTCTTTCTAAATCCTGGTGCCCAGAGGTGGGCAGTGAAATCTCAGGTCTGAGGCCTGGTCCCAGTCTGCCCAGTGGCCTGGGCTCAGACCCAGCACCCCTCTGCCTCAGCTTCTTCACAGGGAAAACGAAATCTCTGAAGGAGATGCTCCCGGCATCCCTTTCAGCAGAGTTCCCCAGTTTGACTCTATCAATAATTTTAACACTAAATGGAACAAAATTTTTTTTCAATGTTTGATCAAATCAAAAGCACCAGTTGTGAAGAAATCTATGTTGTGTTCATCTCATTTTAGTTTGTCAAATCTGTGTTTGAACTGGTGGCAAAATGATTTCAGGAGGTAAGTTAGAGAATACAGAATTCCATGGTGTCCCATGACTAACCTATGAGAAAAGTGGGCAGATACTAGGTGTTGGTCTGATGTGTGCTTGTCGTCCCCCTCCCCCCCTCGCCCTCCCAGCTCCTGTGTCTGAGAACAAGCCTTTCAGAGGGGGCGGTGTGCGGGCCATGCTGACCACGAGTCTTAACTGACCACAGGTGTTGAGCACATTCTTCAGTAACACCTCTCAGAGTCCTGACTAGACTAGGCCTGAGAAGCCAGCTCAGAGGCTGCAGCCAGTTAGGATAAACCAATTTTCTCAACCTTTTTCTTTTTCATTATCACTCCCTCCCAGGAGCTTTTTCAGACATTTCTTCTTAATTTCGCCTTTCCCATGAAATTTAATACAGACAGATACTTCCATATGCTATACTGTTTGTTTCTGTACTGCAGGACCTGGTAATGACTAAGATTTTTGCACGGCCCCAAACCAATTCTGCCTCTATTACCAATGCATGGGTTAAGCCAGGAAACTGTTTTTAAAAGCTGGTTATGTCAAATTAAGTGATTTAACATTTCATTTTTGTTTTCTATTTAACTTTTTTTTTTTTTGCCACATATTACAAGGCTATATAGAAGGTGAATTTTACTGATGCTTGTTTTCCCTTTTTAAATCTGTTGTTTTTTCCCCAAAGCCCCTGTACAGATGCTGGTACTAGTGCCTAGTTAATTCACAAGGCAGAGGAGCCAGAGTAAACAGCTGAGTGACAGTCCTCCCGAGGCCACGAG